TTCTTTTTTTTCCCATGTGTCCTCGTTGCTGACAATAAACCCCGCCGGTCTCCAGGTGAAAATGTTGGAAACTCGATGTAGAAAGATCTGCTTTAAAATCTTCAGGCTAAAAAAATAGGCGAGGTGAATGGAGGGGGTCGCGGGCGGAGGACACCGACGCCACTTTTCCAAGTCCGAGTGGCCGGGAGGGTGCGACGTCGGGGCCCCGTCCCGGTCCCCGCTCTGCCGGGGAGCCCCTGCCCGCACCCCGACTCTTCTTTGGCTGCGGCCGGTGGGGAGAGCGGGGCGGCACCGTGGGGGTCCCCGAGGCGGCGGAGGGGACGTCGCTCCCGCTCCACCGGGCCGGGGAGGGACATGGAGATGGAAGTTGAAAGAAAAGAGAGCTGGCGGGGACGGCCAGGGGGCTAAAGGCAGGCGGCCGGGGGCAGTGGGTGCCGGCTGGTGCTGGAGTAGAGAAGCAGCAGCTGCAGCGAGAGCAGGACCCCCAGGGAGGGGGAGAAGGAAGCCCCTCGGCCGCAGTCTGAGGTATCTTCCTGAGTGGGTGAAGAGAGAGGGGCCGTGGGGCACCCCCAGCAGTGCCTTGGCACCCCAGGGGCACCCACTGCGCTGGCAGGGGCTCCCGCTGCCTCCCTGCAGGCCTGAGAGCCTCCTGCCCTACAGCACAGCCCCCGGGAACGGCCCCTGGTGCTGCTCTCCCCGGGACCCCCCTGGCTCTGCTCTTTCCCCCAGGAGGGGACTCCAGTGGGGGTCCTAGGGACCTCTCATAGCTGTGATATCCCCAGGGAATACACCAGGGTTCTTGAGTCCTCCTCTCTATTCTCCCTGGGCTCCGAACCCCCATCAGAGGGGTCCCCCCACAGCACTGCACCCCTAGGGATCTCCTCATGGCTCTGCTCCCCCCAGGGGGGACACTCACCTTTCCATCTCCAACTCAGGGTTGAACCTCTCAGCTCTGCTCCACTGCCCTGGGGGAACCCACTGCCCAAATTTCCCCCAGAGGAGCACCCCATAGGGGATCCCACAATGGCTCTGCTCCCCCCACCAGGGGATACCCAGTGTCCCCATCCCTTCCCAGGGGCCAGCCCCAGCTCTGCTGCCCCCCTGCTCCCCCCTGTACCCCACGTACTGTTGCATTGTAGTCGAAGCAGATGTGGGGGCCTTTCCGGTAGCGGGGCCTGTCCACCAGCTCACACTGGTTGGGGTCCCTCGGGGGAGCTTTGCAGGTCAAGGAAACCACCAGCAACGGGGCAGTGGAGATTTGTAGAAAACCCCCAGCCCCTTTGGCCACAGGCCAGCTTTTTCCACCCCTGCCAAACTCCACAACTCCACATCTTTGCCTCCTGCCTGTCCCACAGACCCCGTGTGTCCCTCCATCCCCACTGCCACCACATCCCAGTGGGATGCAGCTGAGACATCAAAGGATACCTCTTACCTCTGCCTGCAGCAGCTTGACAGACTCACACTGACTGCAGATGGGCTTGTCAGCCACCACGAAGAGCAGGTTGGTGTTGGCCAGTCTCTGTGCATGGAAGAGCCTGGGGGGTGCGAAGGCAGTGGGACCCCACTTACCCTGTGCCCCAATCCCCCCCCAGCCGCCACTGCCAGCCCTGCAGGTTGTCATGACTGTCCCTGTCCTCCTCACCATCCCTGTCCCCAACTTCATCCCTATCCCCATTCCCTGCCCTGGTTTCCATCCCCATCCTCATCTCCACCTCCCTCCCTCCCCATCCCCATGCTGAGGGGCTGCCCAGGGACTCAGCACGGATGGGATTCCAGAGCTTGGCTCCACGCAGAGGATCCCTGGGGACACCATCAGCCACAGCCCGCGGGGACACTGCTGTTCCTCTCTGTCACCCCCTCCTGGTATCCCCCCCTAAACGTGGCACAGCATCTCCTATTGCCCCCACACAGGCTGCTGCACTGGGATCTTGTCAAAGGCAGCCTCGGGGGTGTCCCCAGCCCTGCCCAGGGGTGGGACAGTGGGGATGGACCCACCTGGAGCAGTTGCCGCAGTCAATGATGGCGTTGTAGGTGGCGTTGACGGTGCTGAAGTAATACTGGGTCTGCTTCATGATGCAGCTCGTCTCCCTGGCCTCCATGCCGTCCCCCACCACCTCCTCTGTGCCAGCACAGTGCTGTGGGCCAAAGGCCACCAACCCCCCCAGCCCCTGCCCACCCCCAGCTCAAAGCTCCCCAAGGACTGACCCGTCTGGAACCAGCTGCTGTAGGTGAGGCTGTACAGGAACTGCTGGAACAGGGACCTGGGGAAGTAAAGCGTGGCCACCTCAGGTGTCCCAGTCCCAAGGACAACCCAGTGTCACTCCTCAGTGGGAATGGCCCCAGGGAGGGGACATGGCAGGACTCACCAGGCTGCGGCCGAGGTCCACCAGGCAAGGCTCAGGAGATCGGCCACAGTGGGCTGTGGGCAAAGAGGGGGCAGTGAGCCAGCAGACCCCCATGAGGGGTGCTGGGGACACACTCACGGGTCCCTGAGCTCCCAGACCACCTGGAATGCACCATCCCTGTGGGTGCTCACCACGAAGACGCCGCGGGGCGCTGCGCCCGTGTTGCTGGGGGCCTCGGGGGCACAGACGGACTGGAAGTCGTAGGACTCCTTGCGAGCGTAGAAGGAGTTGTTGTAGAGGGCAGACATCAGGTTGGCATCCACTTCGCTGAAGAACTTGCCCACCTGAAATGGGGACACTGAATCTGCACCCAAATGCCACCTTGACATGGGACTCCCTCAAGGGGACTCAAGTGGGGCTGTGTCACACCACCCATGACACGAGATCAAGGGTCTCAGCTCCTCGCTGGCATCCCACGCCCACGAGAGCTATGGGCACCGCTCACCTGGTACCAATGGTCCTCCTGGTTGGAGAGCACCAGGAAGCCCCCATCATCGATGAGGACACAGATGAGGTCCTGGGGAAGGAGGGCAGCGTCATCCAACTCTGGCCATGGCCAGGGCAAGGCAGGACCAGCAGGGTGGGGGATGGCAGGCTGTCAGGCCAGGGGGCCAGCACTGTGTCCCCAAGCCTCAGAAGCATCTCAGTGCCAGAAACACCCCTGCTGGGTTCAGGGAGCAGGAGACACTACCCCCCCTTGGAGCTGAACAGCCTCTCAGGGGGTCCATGGGGGCAACCCCCAGGCATTCACCCCTGCAAGGCAGGCTGAGTCTGGCTGAGCTTGGGGAGCAGCAGGGGACAGGGGACCTGTGCTCGGGTGCGCAGGTGGGGTAAGCAGGGGACATGCATCTCTCATTCCATACGCCCCCACCCCTGCCCACCACCCACCTTGTTGTTGGCCTCACAGTCCATCTCACAGCTGCTTGAGGGGTCACACTGTCAACCAAAAGCAGGGCAGAAGGACAGGTTAGTTGGATGGCCATCCCCCCAGAGCTGTCCTCCCAGCCAGAAGGGGACATGCAGGAAGGATGACCCTCCAGAGGCTGAGGAACAAGCCTGTTGCGACCACGGGCACCATGCCCCAGCAGTGCCCCCTCAGCAAGCAGAGCTCCCTCCCTGTCCTGTCTCCACCCCTGCTCCCTGGCTGTGCCAGCCCCCAGGACGTACCCGGCGGGTGCCCAACTGGTCACGGTCTGTCCGGTTGCTCGCCAGCACTTTAAACTTCTCAGCCCAGGCCTCCAGGTCCAGCTTCACCCCCACCACTGGGGCAGTGGGGAGACGGGGTGAGCTGTAGCCTGGGGGGGTTGCAGGGACCCCCCAGCCTGGCACCAGGGCAGCCAGCTCCCTGCCTACCTGCAGGCTTCAGAGTCTTGCCCCCAATGCTGAGCTCCACGGCGGTGCTCACCAGGATCCCGATGGTGTTGTTCTCCAGGTCCAGCCCCCGGTAGCCAGCTGTGGAAGGCAGGGGTGACGTCAGGGGACATGTGGAGCCAGCGGCAGCCTGGGTCACACCCTGTTGCCCTGAGCTGGCACCCACCATCCCGGTAGGGCGGCTTGAAGATGTAGCCCTTGTTGTCCAGGCTCCTCCGGTAGAAGCTGGCGTTGAAGGGCTCCGGCTCCTCCTCCCAATCATCTGCGGCCCTGGCAGGGAGAAGCCACAGCCATGACTGTCACTGTCATCTCTGGTCCCACCAGAGATGGCCCAGCAGGAGCAGACATGTCACTGTGCAGGGTAGACACTCACTTGTTAGGGAAGACACGGGTGATGCCCCCGTCGGTGGCTGCGAAGACAGCCAAGAGGCTGTACCTACAAGGAGAGGGGCCAGGTATGCCGGCCATCAGTGGGGTTTTGCTCTGCCCCCACCTCCACAACCCACCCCAATCCTCATCTGTCCTAAGACAGTGCTGCCCACCCTAGGCCATCTCCCCTCCACCTACGTGTTGAGGTCCTGGTCCTTCCAGACTTGCTCCACCAGCTGCTGTGTGATACCCGTGTCCAGGATCAGGTTGTGCAGAAGGAAGTTGTCACCTTGGGAGTTGGAGAGGAGGAAGAGGTGAGAGCTGACTCCATGTGGGCCACCCATATCCCCTGCCCTGCCCAGGACCCCAACCCCAGCAGTTTATCCCCTGCTCCATCTCCCCCTGAATCCCCATCTACCCCCAGCCCCCCGGCAGCCCCCCCACCAGCCATCCCAGCTACTCACACTGCTTGGAGTCTGGGGTCACCTTTTCCATGAGGGCAATAAAGTTTTCCAGGAATTCGGTGTTGTTATCCGACAAGTCGAGGTCTTTGCAATACTCTCTGGGGTTTGGGGGACAAGGTTTGTCGTTCGTGGGGATGGAAAAGGTAAGGTCAGTTCTCCCCCGGGGACGGCGGGGTGGGGCTGGCTGTGCTGCCAGCACTCAGGCTTGACAGGGACACAATGGTAGTGACGTGCCATCTCTCCTGGGAGTGTCACCCCACCAGGGGAGCTGGCTGTGGGCATCTCTGCAGACTGCCCAGTACCCAGTCCCTGCTGCCTGCAGTGCCACCCGAGAAGCGTCACACCAGTCACCAGGCCTGTCACTGCCACAGGCACTGAGGTGCCATCACCTCTGCCAGAGCAAGGTTTGATGGATGCTGGTTTGCCCGAGTCCATCTCTCTCCATACTGGTGGGGCTACTGGTGGGACTGGGTGCCTCTGACACCGTACTTACCTGTGGGGCCAGGTGTGTACTGCTATGCCCAGCCTGCCCTGCCCCTGTGGCACCCCCTCCTGTGGCCCAGGGATTGGGGGGCTCCTTTGTGGGTGCCAGCAAGGATTTGCCTTGGGATTCTCCACAGCTACACTGGCAGCACCAGGCAGGCACTCAAGGCCGCACCTGTGCCCTTTGCACAGACGGTTGGGCACTGGCTGAGCCCCAGCTGGTGGGGATGGGTGCTCGCCCACGGGCATCACTGGCCCTGAGACACTTCTGGGACAGGCAGTACGGTGGGTGCCACGTCCCTGCTTCAGTCTGGAACACCCTGAGCGCAGAGTCCCAGCCCCACCAATGCCAGGGACAGCTGTAACCTGCTGGTCACCACGAGATTCTGACTGGGTGGCACAGTTAGTGCCACCCCAATGTGCCAAGAGCCTCCCATCCTCAGCAGTGTGGCTGTGAACAGTACCAGGGTGCTCAGGGCTCCCCCACTCACAACCCCTCTGCCAAGCTCCTGACTCTGCCAAAAATCCTCATTAAGAGGACAAACCTTGCAGCAAAGGGTGGCAGGGAGCATGCCCAAAGGGCAGCTGAAAAAGGTGAGGCACTCTGCCCAACTCAGCCCGGCCCCTCAAACCCCTGTTCGGGGGGGAACAGCCACCTAAATATCTCCACCGACACGCACAGATACAGGTACTCACACACCCACGGGGGACGGGGGATATACGGTTTCTGAAAATCTCCAGCGGCCCGTGGGCGCGGCAGCACCGGCAGCAGATCATACAGTCGCCCTGGGTGCCGGGCACACCCCGGCACACGGCCCCTGCCTGCCCCTGCCCACGCCGGGCAGCACCCACCGCAGCCAGGGTGCTCATGGAGCTGCTCTGGGCATAGCAAAGGGCTCGCCCTGACTTCCAGAGCCTGCTGTTTTCTGCAGCTGCACGGTCTGCAGAGCCCCAGCCCGGACACTGAGCCCATCACTGCAGCCCGAGCAGCTCAGTGGGTGCAGACCCCTCCCTGGGGCCTTGGGCTCGGGCATCCCCTCCCTATCCATCCTCCAGGTGTGCTTACAGGCCAATTTTCAGTAGCAGTTTTCCTGTTTCTCATTCACACTCTGCTTTGGCTCCCACGTGTCCTGGACTTCATCCCCACTGGCCAGCAGAGGCCCTGGGGACTAAGCTCCCCAAAAAGGCCGGGCTGCACAGTGACTGTCCATCCGGGGCTGGTTTACCCATAGTGTGAGAGATGCTGTGGGCTGGGAAGGAGGGGGGTACTCGCAGGTGGCCGCGCTGAACCTCAACCCACTGCGGTCCCCAAAAGCCGCACTGGCAAAACATCCCCTAACAGGATGTTTAGCTGCTATAACGACCTATCAGCAGATAGGTGATTAGCTGGTGATGTTAATTAGGGCTGGGCAGAGATTGCACTGTAGCAGTGGGAAGGGCGGGGTGCTGGCAGAGCCATGGGGCTCCCCGAACACCCCATTGAAGGACGGCCCTTCATCCCTGCTAGGTGACAAGCCTGGGTGCCACGGCCCAGGGGAGGGGACGTACCTGTCCGTCCTCATATCCCCAAACCCTCTGAGCATCCCAAATTTGAGCCGAAACCTCCCCTTCGTTCTCCCTCCCCCCCCGCAGCCAGCACGACTGTATGATGCCGCCGCCGGCCCCTCGCTCGGCAGGGATTTTCAGAAACTATACCTATATATGCACTCGCAGAGGTCGGGCTGCACCGGGTGCATATATACCGTGCTGGATGTAACCGGGTGGCGCAGCGGGGCCGGGGTCCCGGCGGCCGAGCGGGCACACGACACACACAGCCACAGGGCACGGGGAGCGGGGACAAGGCACGATGAGGATGGGGGCGATGGTGGGGTCGGCAGCGGGGCCGGGGCGGATGCACACCTCGGCAAGCGCACACGCAAAGCTACCTGGGAGCAATGAACACATGTCCCTCCGACTCAAAGCTGTTGGGCAGCAGGTATTCAAAATCTGCAACAGAAAGGGAAGGTTATCCGGCGGGGAGCGGGGCGCCGGGGGCCAGGAGGGAGAGAGACGGACAGAGAGAGAGAGAGAGAGAGAGAGAGAGAAAGGGGAGGGAACAAAAAAAAAATAGAGAAAAAAAAAAGAGAAAAAGGCATTTGCTGCTCTTGGTAACAAGAGAGGAAGGAAAAGGCCGTTCTGCTGTTGCTGGCACCGCACGGAAAGGAAGGTTAGAGCCAAATCAGGAGAGGTTTGCCCATCTCGGCTCGAATTTGCTCGGTCCGAAGGCGCGCGGGTGCGTACGCGCGGCCGGTACGCAGGGACACACAGACACACACACATATATATATGTGCGCACATGTATATATATATATGCATGTTCGGGAGGGCGGGGGGACGTCTCTCTCT